AGAGAAACATTGACGTGAGAGAGACACATTGAGTGGTTGCCACCCACACGACCCCAACTGGGACCGCGGACAAACTAACCGAGGTACGTGCCCTTAGCGGGACCCAAACCCAGGACTCTCCGGTCTGTGGGCCGACGCTCTAACTGTTGAGCCAAACTGGCCAGGGCTCTACTAACTGTTTTAATCCACACAACAACTCTGTGAGGTCAGAACTCTTAATGTCCCCGTTGTACAGATAGATGTATCAAAGCCAGAGAAATTAAGTGGCTTGCACAAAGGCACACAATAAGGAAGTTTGAACCCAGGAAGCTGGTCTCTACAGCTACAATAATGTCCAAAGGCTGGGAAAAAGGCATGCATGACAGTGGCACCGTTGGGATTGAAACTGAGGGTCTAAAGCCTTTCCTTCTCTGTTTCCTCCAGGCTATATTTCCAATGCTTTCTGGCAAAAGTATGATTTGGGAAAGCTCTGGAGGCCTGATTTAATCTGGTATCTATATTGTGTGAATCAGATCTTGAACCAGCCCCCTGGAGAGATCTGCTTCCAACAGCAAGGATTCCTTTGGAGAAGTTTTGACTTGGGCACTCAGGGGGTGGCTCAGCTAAGACAATTAGGAAGAGCATTATAAGTTGGTCTGAAGAAAGGAACCCTGGCCTGCGTGTCTAGCATTGGGTTCGGTTGTCAATGGTTCTGTCCATGCCAAGGGTGGAGATGACTACTCTTTTCAGAAAGCTGCTCTTGGTTCTCAGAATGGGGAAAAGACTCCTCGGGTATCAGGCCTGACTTATGGAGAACTCATTTGTATTTGGGAAATAACTGGTAACCAGGGGTAGTCTGATGACTCATTTCTCACCTGGCTCATTCAACTTGGGGTAGACCAAAATCACCCCTTGTTTTTCCTTTTAAGCAGTGCTTAGGAATGAGCCTTGAAATCCTGAGCCTGCAGAATCTGAGAGCATCTTGTCATGGAATAAGGAGCTGTCTAATGTTTCCAAGCAGCATTAAATTCTTCCCTGCAACTGGGAAACTTATGCAATAGAAACAAAATGGTATTTCCCACTATTTGTGAAGTACATGGCAACAGAAACTCTAAAACTGTCCCTGTAGAAAAAAATTTCCCTATTATTATTATCGCTTTCCCTCCCCCCCAACTGAAAGTTGTGTGTTTTTTTTTCCTTTCTCCAGATCATTTCATGACTGCTCCCCAGTTATGGCCTATTTTAGGCCCTGCCCTGGAGATATATACAAGGATCTAAGAGCGCCTTACTAGAGATCCTGGAAGGGATGGATGGAGGGGATGGGGAAGAAGAGAGGAGAGACCAAGACCGAAAGTGGGGTAAAAAAAAAACTTCCCCCAGCTTGTGCTGCTTAGTCATGTTTGCTCAGCCAGTTGTTCTGTGCCAGGAATAGCTGGGAGGCAGCCAGGCCTTGCACCAAGGGAGTCCCCATTGATGACACCAGTGCTGAGCCCCCTGTCTGAGTCATGAGACCTGGAGTAGGCTGTGACCTGAGGCGGAGGCCTGAAGGTGCCACCAACCAGCTCTGGAGAAGCTGAAAGGATCTCCCTTATCTCTTTGTGTGTTTATGGATCGTTAATGTGGTTATTGTCCCTCTCTCCCTGCTCCGGACTGGAAGCACCAGGAGAGCAGGAACCTTATCTGCCGTGCTCACTGCTGGATTCCAGTCTGGTGCACAGTAACCCTCAGTAAACACTCCTTGAGTGAATGACCAAGGAGCTTGCTGTCTTTCTTTGTTTTAATTAATCATTGCATGCCTCCCCACCATCCGGAACAATGTCAGCTCCATGAGGGCCTGACTTTGCCAGTCTTGTTCACTTCTGTAGTCCCAGGATCTCACTCAATGCCCGGTGCATAGTAGGTGTCCGTGGCAGACACTTCCCTCTTGACAAGAGAACCCCAGGTTGTCCAGGTAGCCATGTCCCAGGAAATGGAGCAGGGCTGTTCTAAGCTGATGGTGACAACCCTGCTTTTGTTCAGAGACTATTTAAGGGTAGTCATGTGCCCCTAGCTGGCCAGTGAGGTATAAAGGAAAGTCTGGTTGCTGGGGCCTTTGGAGAAAGTTTTCTCTGTCTGATGAGAGGCACAGAGGGGAGCCCCCTTTTCCCTTCTCTTTTCTTTCTTGCTTTGGAGTTGTTGTGTTAGCAGGTGATGTTGCCACTGAGCAGCTATCTTGCGAATCCAAGGCCCCAAAACTTGGGAGAAAAGCCACCATGACGGGGATGGCAGGATGAAGGTACCTTGGTCCTTCATGATGTCACCAAGTTCTGAACTAGCCAGAGGAACCAATCTCTTTTGGATCCTTTGTTAAATAAGCAATGTCCTTATGTTTTAACCCATCAGTAGCCCATTTTTCTCCTCTTTGCAGCCAAATGAATCGGCACTCAATCCACCAGTTGAATAAATAAAAGTCTTTACTTGTTGAGCGCTTACTATCTGCTCTAAGCACTTTGCAAGTATTAACTCAGGAATCTTTGCAACAATGTTATGATGTCTGTATCCTTGTTATCCTCAGTTTCACAGATGAGGAAAAGGAGGCACAGAGACCTTAAGTAATTTATTAAGAGTTGTATCATCTTTCACTGGGGATGGGATGGTGGGGAGAAATAGTCCAGAGAAACCTGAAGGAGTAACAGAATACAGAAGGCTCAGGGGTGGGCGAAGGTGGGCTCCATCCACAAATGTGGAAATGTATGGATGGTGTTTTTTTTGGCAGTGTGGGCCAATTCTTGGGTGAAGTATGGGATGTGTGTGTGAAACAAATTTCTCTGAAGGTGAAGTCACAGCTGGGAAGGAGACTAACATTTATTGAGTACCTACTATGTGCCAGTTATCTCTCAGATATTTTGTATCAGTGGTTCTCAACTGGAGGCAATTCTGTCCCTCAGGGGACATCTGGCAATGTCTGGAGACATTCTTGCTTGTCACAACTGGGGAGGAAGTGCTACTGGCATCCAGTGGGTATGGTATGCTACTAAATGTTCTTAAAAGCACAGAATGCCCCTCCACAACTAAGAATTACCCCAAATATCAATAGGCCTGAGGTTGAGAAACCCTGCTTTACATACATTTTTTTTCTCTTATAAAGGCTCCCATTTTACAGACGAGGCAACTGAGGCACAGAGAGGTGAAGTGTCTTGGCCAAGGCCACCCAGCCAGTAATTTAGAGCTGAGATACAAGTGCAAGCCATTTTCATTCCATAGCCATGATGCTCCCCTGTGGTAGGTAGGATTAATGTAAAGATGAGGCAACTGAGGCTCAGAGAGGTGTTGTGATCCATCTAAGGTCACACAGCAGAGCTACTCCAGAGATCTCTACAATTTTCTGAGAACCTTGGCAGTCAGTCACCTTTTGGACATAATTGATTCCACTACCCAAACCTGGCGGGCTCACCTACCTCACACCCTTTACTCCCTGCTCAGGAGAACTTCACTTACCCAAGGCCCAGATCAAGTGCCACCTTGTCCATGATCCCAAAGGAACAGAGCTTGGAGGGCAGAAACTCCCCCACTCTCATCCAGTGTCTTTAGGCACTTTCAGTATTTACCCTGAGGCCAGTAAGAGAACAATCCTCGGTGTTTGGAACAGAAAATAAATAAATAATAATGTTCCTGCCTAAAGGGTAATTACAGTCTACAGAGGGATATTATATGAAACAGCTATTCCACGCAGAGATAATACAATCTCTGGCCAATGAATAGGGATCATTTGGACAGTTTGGAGAATGGGACCTGGCTAAGAGGGATGTTTACGCATGAGATAATAATTAAGCACAAACATTTATAGAGAACTTTCTAAATTCTGGGCATTGTTTCAAGAACTTCAGATGGATTAACACATAATCCTGTGAAAGACACGGTGAGCTAGGTACCATTTTTATTCCCATTGTATTGATGAGAACACTGAGGCTCTTGAGGCAAGGAAACTAGCCCGAGGTCACCAAGCGCGCAAGTGGGGGCGATGGGATTTGAACCTCAGAATCATACCTTCCTGTGAGGCAGGTGAGTTCAGCTGTCATACAGAGCAGCCTGGACTAGAAGCCAGGTTCCCAATACCTTATCCGTGGGCGGTGGGTGAATGGGAGGGGGGTCAGGCAGAGCAGCTGTCTCTTAATCTGAGAGCAGATAATTTCTTCTGGGAAAGGTGGAAAGGGTAGGCTCAGCTCATGGGGGCAAAGACATTCAGAAAGAAAGAAAAAGGAAGGAAGGTTGGAAGGAAAGAATAAGGGAAGGGAAAGAGAAAAGAAGGAGTAAGAGAGGGCGAGAATCACTTGTCTTTCTTCCCAAGGTCGTGGCAGCGCCCGAGGGCACCCAAAGGGCTGGTTGTCCCAGAGGCGACAGAGCCCGGGCAGGGGCCGCCACTCTTCCTTCCTGGGGCCGGCGGGGGCGCAGTGCCAGGGAGGCTTGCTACTGAGCCGCTCCGCTGAGAGCTTTTCCAACCGGTGTTGACTCAGCCCAGCAGCGGCCGCGGCGGCGGGACCTGCGTGCGTGTGCCTGTGCGCGCAGGGTGTCGCGTGTGTCGGGTGGGAGTGGCGTAGCCCGCGGCAGGGGTGGGGGCGCCACGCGTTCGGGTGCAGAGTTGGTGCGCTCGCCTCCGAGCTCCGCGGGGCCCCTTCCGGAGAGTTCCTCCCGCCCGAGCGTCGCGGGCGGCCCCGCTTGGGTCGGGCCGAGCTTCCAACGTCGCTGCCGAGCGCCGCGGCGCGTCTTAGCGGCTCAGCGCGGCGTGGCACTTGGCAGACGCTCCCTGGGCGGGCGGGCGGCAGGGGCCCGCCGTCTGGGAGCCCCGAAGGCCGCCTCCTCCCGCCCCTGGTCCAGCCTCCGCGCGCTGCCTCCGCCCCCGGCCCGGGCCGCCCGCCCCCAGTCCCGCCCGCAGCGCCAAGCGCCGGGCCCGCCGCTGAGCCGGCGCGCCCCGTCCGGGATGGGGCGCTTGGACGCCTGAGTCGCCGTTCGGCGCGACCTCCGCGCGGGGAAGGAGCCGGCGCCGCGCCGCCGCGCTAGAATGGAGGTACCCGGCGGCAGCGATCCCAGCGGCGACGGGGCTGGGGACGGTGCCCACCCGGACCCCCGGGCCCCCGGCGCCGCTGCGCCCAGCTCCGGTCCGTGCGCGGCCGCCCGAGAGTCGGAGCGCCAGCTGCGCCTCCGCCTCTGCGTCCTCAACGAGATCTTGGGCACCGAGAGGGACTACGTGGGCACCTTGCGCTTCTTGCAGTCGGTGAGTGCCTCCCGGGGAGCGCGGGGACAGCGGAGCGCCCGGGCCTCAGCGCCCGGCGGTCCCCACAACCTGTGGCCGCGGATCCCGGGGGTCGCGAGAGTCGCCTCGGGGGCGCCCTGCGGGGCGCACACAGAAGTGAGGAGTCCCGGGCTCCTCCAGAGCTGGTCTGTCGCCTCCCTGGCTGGCCTGCAGTCCAGCCCGACCCGGGGTCTCCCGCACTTCATTTCCCCCACGGCACGCTGCCCTTTTGTCTTTTTCTTCTCCCCACCCCGCCTTTCAAATAGTTTTAAAATTAGTTACATCCGTGAGGCAGGGGCTCTGGGACCCAGGCGCCTGGAGCTTTCGCTCCTGTGTTTTTTCCTCCGGGGCTTTCTTGGTCACCTGGTGCACCACCGACTCCTCATCCAGGACGGATCCTGGAAATGCTGGAGCTCAGCGTCCCTCTGCCCCGAGTGAAGTCGGACAAAACCCAAAGCCCCGAGGACGGACGGACATCGACACAACCCCAGAGTAGGACTCCTGGTCACCACGCTCACATTTTTCCTGGAGCTTGGAGAGAGTGGGGTTAGAACTCACGGTTTGGCAGTGCAATCCCGCCCCTCCCCCTGTACCGAAGTTTCAAAACCACAGCGACAGACTGTAAAATAACTGAGTGCTTACTATGTGGCAGGCGCCTACATGTGCCATTAGAAGGTTTAACCTTCACAAGTGGCCCAAGAAGTACCGAGGAACATTTCCGTAAATTTTTAGATGGGGGAGCTTATAGCTCCAGAGAGGTTGAGTAACTTGCCTGGAAAACACACAGCTGGTTAATTGGGAACAGTGCGTTTTGAAGCAGGGCGGGCCCAGCCGGTCCTTTAAACCTCTATCCTATGCAGCATTTCTCCTTTTTTTTTTCCCTGAGAGGGAGGAAGGGGCCGCTTCCTTACTCTCCTAGGAAGTGAGAAAAGTGGCTACAGGCTGGAGGGGGTGGGACCCGGCCAAGCCTTTCTGGAAGTTAGGAGACTCCAGGGCTTTAATCTCCGTGCCTCCTGCTGGGACCTCATTTACTCCCTTCTCTGCTCTAGGAAGTTTTTTAATCCTGGTTCAGGAAGAGCTGGTGGGGGCGGTGGTGTTTCCCTTAGAGACCTCAGAGCCAGGCTCTGCAGCTTCCAGTCTGCAGGGATCCAGAGGGAGAGAAGGCTCTGGCACCCAACGGGGTACCCAGTAGCTTGGGGGTGTAGCTGAGGCTGGATGAGGCCCGAGTTCCAACTCAGGGAGGAGAGAGCCCTTCTCTCTGTGAACAGAGGTTGTGTGAGTGTGTGTGTTGGGGGCGGGGAGGGGGGCATTGTGAGTTTGTACAGCGGCATTGAAAACCAGTTGGCTAAAGGACCCTTCTAGAAAGGCCTGTGAGAATAAGGCAGGGTTAGCATTTTTTTTTCCCATCTCTCCCTCTGTCACAGTTAAAAAAATAATAATCTGCTCAGTTTGAAGCTGGCAGTTTCTGAATTAAAGATGTAGACAGCCCTGCCATCTCTGAGCAATGTCAAATTCTTGGGAACTCCTCACATCTTGTTCTGAGCTGCTCCCTGCTCCTCAGTCTGGAAGGGAGAGAGGAAGGCAATTTTCCTATTAATGGGGAAGAAATCCCTTGTCCTAGCCTAGATGGTGTGGTGTGGACATAGGCTGCATGTGGGTTAACTGTGGTTTTGCATTGTCCACGTGTAGAGCCTGAGGAAGCTGGAATAATGGAAATTGATTGGAATCAACCATTCTTATTATTAGAGAAATAGGAGAAAAAAAAAAAGATCTCCCTACTTCCACATTATCTCCTTGGCACTTTTAATTTGCTGAGTTCATAATTTTTTTTCTTGTTTTGTTTTTGGATTGACCTGTCGGTTCTGAGATGAAGTGTTCCAATGTCGACATCTTGGACCAGTCATTATCGCCTGTCCTGGCCTCAGTTTCCCCACCTGTAAATCAAGGGGAGAGGAATCCAGACTTCCTTTCTGCCTTGTCCTTTCGGGTATCACCAAGCCGGTGCCAGAGATGGACTGATTGTGTAACCTGACCAGCCATACCTTGTTTGTGAGCCACAGGAGGCCTCTCTCGTTTTGCTCCATCAGGAATGGCCCCTAAACAACCCAAGGCCTTTTCGTTCTGAAAACCTGGGACTTGGAGCTCCAGGAACAGCTAATTACCCAGGCTTTCCACACAGCAGCGAGACTGGCAGCCTGCAGGTTGCGATTCTCTGTCTTCCCACTCTCTCCTCCCAGCTTTTATACTTTGCTAAGGGATTTTTCTCCCAGCCTCCTGGCTCAGGAGAGTGGAAGAATGCTCAGTAATCCCTCCCTGCTTCTCATTCCATGTGGCAGAGACAGGCCTCGAAGGGCTGCCCTGGCCTCCGTGTACCCCCGGGTTTAAGTTTCGTTGCCAGTAGAAGTTAAGCCTTTATGTGGACTGAGCATTGTGGGAGGAGCAGAAAAGCCAAGTCTAGGATCCTGCCCTCAAGGAGAGGACAGTCTCATGGAGGGTGGCAGAATGGGGGTTTACAGAAATCCAAGTACAAGGCTGGGCTCTGGAGCAAGCCTGGTTGAGCTCAAGTCCTGGAGCTCTGTGACCTTAGGCAGGTGGCTTAACCTTTCTGAACCTCACTTCTCTCATCTGTAAAATGGGGGATGATGATAGATCTTATTTTAGAGGGTTTTTAAGAGGATGAGTTAGATAAATACACATAAAGTACTTGGAACAGTGCCTGGCAGGCAGTAAGGTATATAAGTATTAGTTAGGATCATTAATTAAGTTACATGATAATTAAACATAGAATACGGGTGAGCAGGGTTGTAGGATTCCAGCATCCCAAGAACAGGGGTTGTCAGGGAGGGCTGCCTGGAAGAGGGGAGATCTGTGTCAGCACAGACAGGAGGACAGGGAGTTGGAGTGAAGTTCATTTTGACCCTGTAAACTCTGGCCACAGGAACTAGTGGTTTTATTGGGTTCCAGGCCTGGGGCTCTGTGTTTCCTCCAGAATCTCCCATCTTTTCCCACTTCCTTTAGGAACTGGATTGCACCCCCTTCCCCATCTCCAAGGGAGACCGACGGCTTTGGTGCCGTGTTTTTTGTGTGTGATTATTTGTCGTGGAAAGGCAAGGGCAGCCCTGTTGCAGAGATGCTGGATCTCTCTTGGGAGACACCACAGAGGTTGTAGCAGAAATTGCCCCGGCTCCTGATGCTGAACATTGGCTCTCAACATGTAGAAGCCCCCGCTGCGTTGAGTGCTCCCCGTGTGCTCTTGGGCAGTATGGCTAACAATAACAACAATGATAGTCGTTACTGCGCAGGAGCTGACACGGACTCATCATTCAGCACTTTGCATGTATCAACTCTTGCATTGGAACGTCCCAACATCCCCAGGAGGGGAGTGCTGTTGTGATGCCCATTGACAGATGAGAAGACTGAGGCAGAGACAGTTTAAGTGAGCTTCCCTGGGTCATGTAGGCAGCATTGCCAGCATTTGCTCCCAGGCTGCCAACCTCAAAACTCATGTCCCTAGCCACTTCACTGCCACTGGCATATAAAGGGTTTGGTACATGATTTGTTAAGGTGGCAAAACTGAAATTCGAACCCAGTTCTCTGTCACCCTGACCCTCAGCCTGTGCTTCCTCCAGTTACTTCCCCTCTGTGACTCCTTTTCTCTCTTCCGCAAAATGGCCAGAACTATAGAAGAAGGGAAATATCAGGTTGCTGGGTTCCTTCTCTATGCGCCGTGTCTGTTCATGTTGTGAGGGTTGAGTGTGGGGCTCTGGAGCCAGGCGGCTGGTGTTCAAATCCTGGCTTTACTGCACACCAACTGGGCAGGTCACCAACCTGTGCTGTGCCTTAGTTTCCCCATCTGTACAGTGCACACAGCACCTGCCTCATAGGGGTGTGGTAACGCTCGAATGAACCTGAGGTTAAAGCTCCTGCACTGCTCCAGGCACATAGTAGGTGCTCAGAATGCTATGGTGGTTTTTTGGGGGGATATGCTGTGATGACGGGGCGGGGGGCAGATGAGGTTGTTGGTTTGGGACTCGAAGTCTTGCCCCTTAAAGAGGAGGCTGAGTGACCCTTGGGTCCACCTGCCTCTTGATTGGACTGGTTTGGGGTCCCTGCCTGCAAGGAGCGAGGTCTCAGGGGCAGGTGTCACCAGGTCCTGTGTTGGGCAGTGGTGGGAAGAGAGGGGGAACTTGAGTGGACGGGCAGAGAGACTCCTGGGTGGGGGTTGGTCAGAAGCCCTCCAAAGGGCTCCCCTTGGCTGAGGACAGAGACCTGTCAGTCACCCTCAGGCACCCAGGTCTGCCCCACTGGCTGGGCTGGGTCAGGGTCCCTGAGGATCAAGGGTGTGAGCGGAAAGCTCCCAGAATACTTTCTGTGGTTCTGCTTTTTGGGGGTGGGAGCCCAAAGCTTTTCTTCTCAGTGGAGCTCTGCTTGCCAAAACAAGAAACTGTGGTTTTGTGTTGTCACTACTTTTTGTTTTTTTTTAAAAACGTTCTGTGCTCCTAGTCTGACACTAGGGAGCAATGCTGGGGAATGGGGGTGGAGGGCACGTTTTTTCATTCCGCAGTCACTGAAACAGAATGACCTACCTAGTGACTCGGGGGATTCTCATGAGGTTGTGTTGCAAAAAGCAGGATACTAAGAAGGGTATATAACGCAGTTTCACTTTGAGAAAATAAACAATAACCACAATACACACATGGACATTATATGCATAACATTATAGGAGTTTGGAGAAAAGGCCGGACAGATGTGTATCTTGTGGAGTGAGGCAAGCAGGAAGATAAGAAAGGAAAAAATGTACTAAGAAATCCTGTTTGTTATGCCCTTTTGATAGAAAATTATGCATATATGTGTAAATGTATGTTTTACAAAACTCCAAAAGAATTGCATTTTCAGCATGACTATTAGATTAATGCAACAGCAATGGTAATACTAATTTACTAATACTTATATAGTGGTAAATGTTTGTAAATGTGTGTATC